ATTTTCAATAAAGATAAATTATATCATTGCTTTTTTGACCTGTGCAGGTCCTCCTAACAGAAAACCTATAACCCAATATTTGAGTTTAAACACAGATTTGGGTTCAACAGCTTTGTGAGCGATTGGTGAGTGCATCCTGGTTTTCCAGGGCTGGAAAAGAGAAAGGACTGCTTAGAGGAATCAGAAGCCTACAGCAAGGGAGAAAGAGCAACAGCCTACACTTACTGACCTGCCCCTCCCGTCCCATCAGGAACTATGACCAGTGCTGTCTCCCTTTTGCAGAATAAAGGAGCTTTAACTTGGCAGGGCATAAGTGCTTGCCCAAGACCACACAGTAGGGTCAGAGCCAGCTGAACCGCATTCTCCTGGCTCCAACCGAAACAGCCACCTTTCCCTGGAACACGCATCTTTCTTCAGGTGCAGAACCATAGGCAAGGAAAAAAATCCCCTCTTCCTCCTCCTCCTCCCTTGGCTTTCTAGTAGCTGTTATGTTTAAAACACGAGCAACAAATGCCTCTCGATCCAGCTTCTACTGTGTTCTGGGCCTACAGCTAAAATGGAATAAAATCTGTTTTCATTCCACTTCCAGAACTAAACTGCAAAGAGTCAAGGAAATGGAAGTTCAGACAATTAAACCACTTAGTACGACAGTTAATCATGGAGTTCTCACCAACTCCAAAGCAGTTTCAACCCCAATAACTCTCCTAGAGATTACTGCTTAGATTCCCAGGCTCTCCTGCCAAACCGGGTCCAGAGGTGAACTCCACTAGTTACCAGCTGCATCACTGTGCTTCATGACTCTGTCTCAGTTTTTTTATTTGTCAAAAATCCTTCTCATGATTTGTTGTATGGGGTAATAGAACATAATAAATACTATAAGTAATCCTTTTTTTCTGAGAAATAAAGCCCTGTGAGCATAGGAATTATTATTTACTTTTTTGCTCACTCTTGCATCCCTAGCACTTAGAATGATGTCTAGCACTTAGTAGGAAATATTGTTACATGAATGAAAAATGTTCAGAGAAATTAAGATCTTTAGATTAGGTTCTGATTAGTTTCAAAGCCAATGTAAATACACTTGGCTGTTTTTTTTTTTTCACTATCTGTGTATCACATTGATTTGGCACGTAAAATTTAATGTGAGTATCTGAAGTCAGAATTTGAAGGGAGATACAGTTTGAACATCTATAATCTGAAATCCAAAATTCAAAACACTCCAAAATCCGAAATTTTGAGCATTGGTATGGTGCCAAAAACACCAAGCCACTTTATTGAGCAAAATTTTTAACATGCATAAAATTGGGGCCAGTATTCTGGCATTGTGGATAAAGCCACTACTGGCCGATTCTGGAATTCCATATGGGCACCAGTTCATGAGCTCATGTCTCAGTTGCTCCACTTCCAGTCCAGCTCCCTGCTAATGGCCTGGGAAAAGAAGCAGAGGATGGTCCAAGTGTTTATGCCCCTGTTACCCATACGGGAAACCTGGAGGAAGCTCCTGGCTCCTGGCTTTGGCCTGGCCTAGCCCTGGCCATTGTGGCCATCTGTAGATGGAAGATCTCTCTCACTTTTTTTTTTTTTGGACAGGCAGAGTAGACAGTGAGAGAGAGAGACAAAGAGAAAGGTTTTCCTTTTGCCGTTGGTTCACCCCCCAATGGCTGCCATGGCTGGCGTGCTGCGGCTGGTGCATCGCACTGATCCAAAGCCAGGAGCCAGGTGCTTCTCCTGGTCTCCCTTGCAGGTGCAGGGCCCAAGCACTTGGGCCATCTTCCACTGCACTTCCGGGCCATAGCAGAGAGCTGGCCTGGAAGAGGAGCAACCAGGACAGAATCCGGCGCCCCCGACCAGGACTAGAACCAGGGGTGCCGGCACCGCAGGCAGAGGATTAGCCTATTGAGCCACAGTGCCAGCCTCTCTCTCTCTTTCTGTCTCTCCCTCTCTCTCTGCAACTCTTTCAACTTAATAATTAAAATCTTTTTAAAAATAAAATGTTGTATAAAATTAACTTCATATTATATAATAAAGTACATGTGAAACATACATTTTGTGCTTAGGTGTGGGCTCCATCTCCCAAGATATCTCATTATGTACACACAAATATCTCAAAATCCAAAAGCAGTCTGAAATCCAAAACTCTTTTGGTCTCCAGCATTTCAGATAAGGAAGACTCAATCTGTATTGAAAACTCTTGATGGTCTTGATTCTTTTGATGTTTTCAACAAAAGTGGAAGTGAGTACAAGGCTGCAGCTGAGATTTGAGAACATAGAAGGTACACAGATTACTTTCGGGTACACTCTCCTAGCTCTTTGCTATCCCCAGTGCTACCTGCTTACATAATTAATTTTAAACTTCCTTGCAACCCTTATTTAAAAAAAAAGTCTACAACAGGCATTATCACACAGATTTTTCTCTTTTAAAATTTATTTCTACTGATGGACTGGTTCTGTAGCATAGTGGGCTGGGCCTCTACCTGTGGCACCGGCATCCCATATGGGCACTGGTTTTAGTCTTGGCTGCTCCTCTTCTGGTCCAGCTCTCTGCTCTGGCCTGGGTTGGGGGGGGGGGCTGCACCCACATGGGAAACTCAGATGAAGTTCCTTGCTGCTGGCTTGGGATCAGCTCAGCTCCGATCATTGCAGCCATTTCTCTCTGTCTCTTCCTTTCTCTGTGTATAACTCTACCTCTCAAGTAAATAAATAACATCTTTAAAAAATTTATTTCTATTGAACTTGTATCTTTTTAAAATACTGCACATTCCAAAACGAAATCAGTATTTAGTAGTGACAACTACTAGGAGTCCTATAGGAAGAGAATTATGGGTTTCATCTATCTAAGATCAGACCTCAACAGTGATGGGGACTGCTGGGAGCAGCAAGGCTCCTGGAGAATGGAAACCTTGTTCTAGAGTCTGAGCAAGAATTAGGAACAGGAAAGGGGCAGAGAGGTGCCTTTGGAACCAACACGCTCTTGCAGGTGGATTTATGTGGGGGCTCCTCGGAGGCTGAACACTACTTAGACACTGAAATGTCTTGGCAGAAAATCATTTTTAAGGCTTCATGAGATTGATGAGTATATCACACATTCACTCTGAGTGGTGATTAACTAATGCCTGTAACACATAGAAAACACTGGGCTTTAGTCTTTCTCCCTGGTGGCCACTGTACACGTATGTTCATGAAGATGAAGCACAGATTCACACAGCAGCAACTTGTGCAAGCACCTCCGTAGAATGATCTGTCTCTGACAATATGCTTACCCAGCAGTCTGTTAGAGACCTCAGGATTTAGAGTAGCTCAGATGTTGGATTATTTGTTTCCTTTAATGTGGAATCCTCTCCATGGCTTATCTGAAACAATTGTTAAGTTTTGCTTTGGAAGGTTCTTTTTCTCACAATCAATATCAAGTTCTTTTGCAAACTTGCCTGATTTGTATACTTCAAGTTAAGGAGCGTGAGTCTATTACAATTTGGAGAAGTTGGTAAATGAAAGGTTGAACCAAACTGTGGGCTAAAAACATTAAAGGATGTTGTGAGGTTGACTTTCTCTTCATAACTCAGGAATCCATTGATAAAATTCAGTTTAAGATGATTAAATAAGAATTTTGTCCAAAATAACAGCAATTTTTTAAAAAAGATTTATCTTGATATGGCTACTACGTGTTGAGTACCCCGTATCTGAAATGCTGGGGAACAGAGTGCTTCAGATTTTAAAGCATTTCAGATTTTTGGATTTGGGATGGTTAATCTTTACATCAAGTATAATGGAAGCTGGAAATATGGTAAAAGGCCCCAATGCTTAATTTTCTACTAAAATAGCAGCTAAGTGTTTTAAGGATCCATTATGTATAAGAAATTATGTGCAGACTATCTTGCTTGTATTATTTTATTTCACTTTCTGTGCGATGAATAGTTATTATCATCTACATTTAGTAAAGAGAGGGAAGTAAATTTGGATTCATAAACATCTGGTAATTTGTTAGAGGTTGCAAGATTACAGGTAGCAGAGCCAAGATTCAAACCTAGTTCATTTTCCACTGGATTGTGATGTAGCCTAACTTACTAGTGGGATTGGCAAAAACACATGTTTAGGTTGAATATCGAGATGGTTACATATGGAAAATCTGTAAGCATAATCATGTTACAGGTAATATCACAACAAATAAGGAAATTATATTCAGAATAAACCAAAGCTTTATAGTCCTAAAAACACTGTTGTGTGCAAATGTTACTTCAACCTGATCAAATAATTTAACTTTTTAGAGGATAGAATTTTATAAGCTACTATAAAATAGTAGTTTGCATCCAAATCCACATTGCTGTATTTGATTGAATTCATTGTTCAATCAACTGCTATGGTTTCTCCCCTCCAAAACCCTTGTTGAAATTTAATCCCTCTTATGAGATATCAAAAGGGTAGAAGCTTAATTCAACTACAGGATGTAGAGGTGGGGTCTTTGGGGAACCAGACAAGGTCCTCAGGATGGAGTCCCCACTATTGAGAACTGGTGGCTTCACAAGAAGAGAGAAGGAGAGCAAAGTGGGTACACATGCATACTCCCTGTCTCTTGCCACATGATGTCTTGCATCATCCTGGGACTCTTCCCTCAAGAAGACCATCAACAGATGTGACCTTTCAAGCTTGGACCAGGACCAGGAGCCAAAATAAACCTTTTAAATTAATTTATCCAGCCTGAAGTTATTAAGACATCAACCAACAAAAATCTGTGAATTTTATTTTAGTATTCCTTTTTTTCTATAGACACGATAAAGGCGAGTTTCAAAGAAGTTCAGAAAATTGACTATTATGCAGTTAGTTGGCAACAGAAATGAAGCTCAATTCCAAATTTTATGATGCCAAAATGGATTATTATTATGGATTATTATTATTATTATTATTATAATGGATTATGGACTATTTCTCCCATTCAGCAACAAGGTTACAGAGTGAGAATTCACATGTTTGTGAAATCCACTCAACACTGCTTCTTCTTTCTTCTGTAGGTCGCTACCCTCAAGAAAACAAGGGAACCTACATCCCAGTGCCGGTGGTCCCGGAGCTGCAGAGTGGAAAGTGGGGGGCCAAGGTCATCATGAATGAGGACAAGTCTGTCCGGCTGTCCATCCAGTCTTCGCCCGAATGCATTGTGGGGAAATTCCGCATGTATGTTGCCGTGTGGACCCCCTATGGCATACTCCGAACTCGCCGAAACCCAGATACAGACACGTACATTCTCTTCAACCCTTGGTGTGAAGGTAAGGGAGCAAGCACTGAGTCTTCTCATAAGAAGAAATCTGTGTATTTCCAGTGCTTCTCTTTTTGGAGGGGTAGTAGGATTATTCTAGAAGACATATCCCTTTCCTACATGCACTCCTTTTTTATAATCGAAAGAACACACAAAGTTTGCCATCACTATATGTTAGGATACAACTTATATGTGTGAAGCTAATGCTTCTATACCTTTATCCCAGGAACTAATGGAAGTTTGCCTAAAATTGCCCAGTTAGTTAGTTGTGGAGCTATGTATTGATGGTGTAGTCTTTGTATGCTACTGCTCTGTAGACAAAATGGACTTACTAAACTTGGCTTTCAAAACTGTTAGAATCCATGCCTCTGAAACAGAAAAAGTCAACTCTGTGCTTGGTGGAACCAACTTCTCTGACTCCCTAGTTCAAGAACAGAAAATGTAAAGGATTTCGCAGACTTATTTATATGCATAGTGGATGTATATTTCATAAATCATAAGCCTGGATGTGCAAACATGTAACTGCAATTCAATTAATACAACTTGACCTCTAATGCTATTTTGAGTCTTCCTTTTAGTCTGCTATGCAGCTTAATCTACTTACATTCAAATAAACTCAGCCAGGTTTAATGATGTCTCTGTCGATTCAGTTTATTCACTTACACTCAGGGTTTCTCCCCTTCCCCGTTCTTTCCCTATGACCTCCTGGTGCTCCCATAGTTGGTATGGGACTGATGGTGATAACTGATGCGGAAGGGTTGATTTTTTGTCTTTGGAAATTAGACAATGAAACATATAAAAGCTGAGGTAGAGGCAGAGACCTTTTTAAAATATTTATCCTTTTATTTATTTATTTTTAAAGATTTATTTATTTATTTGAGAGAGAGAAAGAGGTCCACCCATCCTCTGTTTCACTCTTCAAATGGCTGCAACAGCCAGGGCTGGGCCAGGCTGAAGCCAGGAGCCAGGAACTCCATCTGGGTTTCCCATATGGGTGGAGGAGGCCAAAACATTTGGGCATCTTGTGCTGACCTCCAAGGCACATTAGTAGGAAGCTGGATTGGAAGCTGAGCAGCTGGGACCTGAACTGGTGTTCCATTATGGGATGCCAGTGTCAGAAGCAGCAGCTTAACCCACTGTGCCACAGCACAGGCCCTGAGACAGAGACTTTTCATCTCATCCTATCCAATATGCACCCTTCTGTAATATCCTCCCCAAATGAGTCTTTATCATGGCTAATTTTGAATGACTTTTGTTTGAGACAGCTGCCTATAGATACAGATGGATCTGAACTGCCAAAACTAAATCCAGACCTTTTCTTTGAGTTACGTGTTCTAACAATATTGGTCGATAGCACCAACGCGATACTGTACTCTGCCCACTTACCCTGTCATCCTGTGTCCAACACAACTGTCTACGACACAGATGTCCAAGACTGGTGGTAACTGGATATGCTAGTTAGGCCATGTGTATTTCAAAGGCAAACTCTGGGCCGGCGCCGCGGCTCACTAGGCTAATTCTCCGCCTGGGTTCTAGTCCCGGTCGGGGCGCCAGATTCTGTCCCGGTCGCTCCTCTTCCAGGCCAGCTCTCTGCTGTGGCCCGGGAGTGCAGTGGAGGATGGCCCAAGTGCTTGGGCCCTGCACCCCATGGGAGACCAGGAGAAGTACCTGGCTCCTGGCTTCGGATCAGCGCGGTGCACCAGCCGCAGTGCACTGGCCGCGGCGGCCATTGGAGGGTGAACCAATGGCAAAGGAAGACCTTTCTCTCTGTCTCTCTCTCTCTCACTGTCCACTCTGCCTGTCAAAGGCAAACTCTTATTTATGGTAATCTCATTGGCCAGAGTTGAGGCATTATATTTTGTGACTGGCTGATGGGATGCTACTTACAGAGATAGAAGAGACTGAGGAAAGCGGAGGTATAGAGAAAAATTAAGGTTTTGAATATGGTAAGTTGGAGCTACCTGTAGATATCTAAGCAGAAGTGACCAGTGTGCATGTGAATCTAGATAGCAGAACCAGATATGTAAATTTGGGAATTATCTGCACCAGGCAGAAAATATAGATAATAGAGGAAATAGGATATAAGACCAAACCCTCAGAACACCAGCATTTAGGAGTTTGGTAGAAAAGGAACTGGCAGTCCAGCTCTCTGCTGTGGCCCGGGAAGGCAGTGGAGGATGGCCCAAGTGCTTGGGCCCCTGCATCTGCATGGGAGACCAGGAGGAAGTACCTGACCCCTGGCTTTGGATCGGCACAGCGCCGGCTGCTGCGGCCATTTGGGGGGTGAACCAACAGAAGATCTTTCTCTCCGTCTGTCTCCCTCTCACTGTCTATAACTCAACCTGTCAAATAAAATAAATAAATACATAAATAAATTTCACTTTAAAAAAAGAAAAGGAACTGGCAAAGGAGACTGAGGTGGGAGAGTCTGTAAGAGATGGTTTATTTTAAGAAAATTGTATTTTTAAAAATCCATACTCATAAAATAAATAAACCAGGAGTTTGATATTGATTTTCTTTACATTACAAAAAGAAAATCACAGGCTTCATATAACTATCCAGCACTCTAGGGTATTTAAAGAATGATATGGCTCGCCCACACTTCAGTTTGTTCATAGCTTTGCTGGCTTATACCATCTGTGGACAATGGGACACATGTACACATGCATTTCGATTTATGTGGCCATTCCTCTTGAAATGAAAAGGGTTAGTCGTGTCAGCTGACATACTGATTTGAAAGGAGACCATTCAGGAGGTGGACAGTCCGATAACCTTCTTTTAATTGCTGTCTAGGTCTTTGGTTGGATCCACAGTTAGCAGCTTCCAGATCCACTGTTCAGAAAGAGTTGCCAAGATCTAGAGATCGCATTGGCCCCGCCCTGGGAACTGCATTACAATAGAGGGACCTCCTCTAGGTATTTCTGTGCCAAGGAAGGAGTAGAAGAAGGCGAGACTCAGACCAAGGAGAGCAGTTGGGAGGTTGTGGGCCAGGACAAAGATGGTGGCAGATGGGCCACAGGAAACGAGAAGGGGGCAAATGAGAGATGTCTCTTGTCTTTGGAGGAGAGGATGCAGGGGATTGAAAATGGGAGGTAAAGAAGACATCAAGAATCACTGTCATCGAGTCTGTGATTGCAGAGTGGACTGAAATTGTGCTTTTGCAAAAATTAAAGAAAAAAAAAGAATGGAAGAAAGGAGGGAGGTTGTGGGAGAGAGGGAGAGAGAAAGAGGGAAATATGGTTATCTTCTTAGAATTGTGCCTGTGAAATCTGTTCTCTTTCTATTAATATTAATTTAAAAAAAGACTAACTCTTTAAGTGTGGATCAGAAATGGAGCAGCCAGGACTTGAACTAGTTCTCAGTAGGGGATGACTGGTGCTACAAGCAGAGACTGACCTCGCTGCACCACAACGCTGCCTGAGACATTTTTAAAGATGGAAGAGAGTGGGTGTGATTTTATGACGATGGAGATGAACCAAGAGAAGGAAAGTTTACTGCCCAAAGAGAGAGCAGCAGTTCACAGCCTTGGCTTCTCACTGCGATCACCCAGGAGCTTTTATAAGCCGCTGATGTCTCAGTCACCCCACTCAGACCTTCTGGTATCACTCACCCCACTCAGACCTTCTGGTATGACTGGGCTGGGGGCGGCTTGGCTGCAAGGCTTTGGAGAAGCTCCTCAGAGAACTCTTGAAGCCAAGGGTGAGAAGTCCTGGCCTTGCGAGGAAAGCCCTGTAGTGCTGGGGGTCAAGGGACGAGGCGGAGGGTTGATGACAGGTGCGACTGTTCACTCTCCACTGAGAGACGGGGGCAGTGGAAGATGGTTAAAGATTTTCTAGATTCAGTGGGAGGAGGACGAGGCTGCTGCTATTGGGTGGTTCTTTCTTCTCGGCCAAGGGTAACTCCGAGTCAGCTGTTGAGAACAAGGAGGAAGTGTGGGAAGCAGGGACGAAGGTGTGAGAGAGCCGTAGAGGAAGGCGAGGTGAGCTTCTCCGGAGAGCCTGGCAGGTGGAGTCTCCCTGCTGTCCAGCTCCCAGGGAAAAGCTGCTACAAGGCCCTTGACCTCTTGGCCTGCGGAAGCCCAAACCGTTCTGCAAATCCTGGGAGATTTCTGTCCTTTTGCCAACGCTCCCTCTAAGAAGTCCGATTTCCCCATATTGATCACTGTGCCACCCCCGTAAGACATGCAACCCCTCCTCCTTAATGTCAACGCAGACAGCAACCACAGAAAGAGTCGCGCAAAGCACCTGTGAGTGTTTGGAACTTACTTAGTTGTGGTCTGGGTGCCCAAGTGGAAAAGTGACAAAGCAGACAAGGCAGATTCTCAGGAGTTGCTTAGAGAGCCGGGAGAACCAGATTATGGAAACACCACACTGCAGGTGAGCTGTGAACGGCAATGGTTGAAAGTTACACCAGCAGCCGGCGCCGCGGCTCACTAGGCTAATCCTCCATCTTGCAGCACTGGCACACTGGGTTCTAGTCCCGGTCGGTGCGCCGGATTCTGTCCTGGCTGCCCCTCTTCCAGGCCAGCTCTCTGCTGTGGCCCGGGAGTGCAGTGGAGGATGGCCCAAGTGCTTGGGCCCTGCACCCCACGGGAGACCAGGAGAAACACCTGGCTCCTGCCATCGGATCAGCGCGGTGCGCCGGCCACAGCGCACCGGCCGTGGCGGCCATTGGAGGGTGAACCAACAGCAAAGGAAGACCTTTCTCTCTGTCTCTCTCTCTCTCTCACTGCCCACTCTGCCTGTCGAAAAATAAAAAAAAAAAAGAAAGTTACACCAGCACACACAGCATTTATTTATTTTTTAAAGATTTATTTATTTATTTGAAAGGCAGAATTACAGAGAAGCATAGATAGAGAAAGAGAGACAGAGAGAGAGAATCTTGCATCCACTTGTTCACTCCCCAAATGACCACAATGGCAGGAGCGGGGCCGATCTGAAGCCAGGAGCCTGGAGCTTCCTCTGGGTCTCCCACACAGGTGCAGGGACCCAAGTGTCCATCCTGTACTGC